ATAGCAAAGCCAAAGGAATTAAAAAAGAAGATAAACCCCATTCTTAGGCACTGTACAGATCAGGCAGTGCCCACAATCCAAGGACACTAAATATGAAAATCAGTTTTCAGTTTTAATCACAGGGTCATTCTTTCACAAAATAATGTTTATTGAAGTATTTGTAAAAGGCAAAGACCCTATGATATCACTTAATTTCTATTTCACACTGCATTGTAAATGGAATATACAAAAAAGCTGTTTAAAGATTTTGAGAAAAAAAAAAAAAAGACAGGAAAAAAGAGAGCACTTTAAAGAAGAGCTGAAATGCCAGAGAAATAAAAAATATTAGTGAATAGAAAATTAGAAAAGGAGAGTGGGAAAACACAAAAGCCAAAGCTAAGTTGGAATCTGAATTCTAATTCCAGGGAACTATTGCATGTTACCAGAACTGTACTGCTCAACAAGAGCTTCCAGCCTTCTTGCTACATCTGGATCTCCTGTCAGGAAGCTCATTTGATCAAGACATTGAAATTAGACGTCTCTGTCTTTCATTTCTGACATGTTACTCTCCCATATTATCACAGCCACTGCAAATCTAAATTACTGTCCCGGTGCAAGCTAAGGTTTTCAAATACTTGTTAAACAGACACTGCTCAGTTTGCTGTCTGTATAGCTGCAGTGAATTGAATGGAGATTTTAGTTTTACTGTGTACCTTGCCTGAGGTCAATCACGTTTAAATGCAATTTTTCTTTCACAATTAATAATGACATTATTTTTACTACATTTGATTTTTCTGCTCTAATTCGACCTACAGATTTGGCATAGACGGTTTCTGGAATAAGTCATAATAATGTTGTTAGTATCACAATCATGACAATCATGGGAAAACTTATGAAAAAATCAAATAAGTTCACAGTAGCTTACTCACTTAAAAATAACAGAATAAGCCCAAATACTTTTTAGCTATTCTATGATATGTAGGGGTTTTTTTTGCTATCATAATTACATGACAGATGTCTTTTTGTATTAAAGCTTCATCTTCCTCACATGTTTATCTGTGTCAACGCTGAGTTTTCTTAAGATTTTCCGTATTCACCTACCAATCCTTTCAGCTATGCCATGTAGGAAGGCCAGCCATGCTGTTCTGAGTTGCAAACCAGGTTGTAAAGACAAGTGATTTTTAAGACAAGATAACCTTCAGTCATGAAGCCAGAATTCTTTCAAAGCCATCAGAGACACCTTTTCAGTCCTTAAACACTTATTCCTTTGCTGTGCAACCTTACATATGGCCTATGTTTTGACTCCTAACAAAGGTTACTGTATTCATGGGCCTCAGCTCAAAATCCTCAGTCCCAAGTGCTTTCTTCTTCTTCAGTCATCGCAATTCTCCAGAACAATATGAAAACAAAGAAACAAGCATCTCAAAGTAATAGTACAAAGCTCAGGTAGTAAAAAGCTGGAACCCAAGCTTCCAGCATTGCTGGAAGTGGATACCAAGATCATAGCTGATCTCCGGACCCAAAAAAAAAGAGAAGTCACTTCTTTGGGGGCTTGAAGACAAATCTTCAAGAATTCCAACAATATCTGAAAAACTGAGGTTAAAAGAGGCAAAGCTCAACCAAGCAACAGTTTGAAAAAAAGCCAGACGGGTCAAAGTGAAGGAACAGAATACCAAAGGTATTTTTGGCCTGTTTCATGAACTCATGCCTTTCTTGTGAATTAGAAGATAATCATGCATACATTTTACAGAATCTACTTTTCTTTATGCTAACTTTACAGACAGAACTTCAACCTTAAAACATAAAGTTTCATCCTACGCCCTTGTGAGACCAAAAAAGCATTCATGGAGGTTACACCAAATAAACAGATGGAGTTGGATGGAAAAAGGGAAAATACTTTAATCAGGTAAACGAGTCATAGAATCATAGAATAGTTTAGGTTGGAAGGGACCTTAAAGATCATCTAGTTTCAACCCCCCTGCCATGGACAGGGACACCTCCCACTAGACCAGGTCATTGGGTTGTATCACTCTAAAGACTATTACAAAATCTAAGGATGGATTTTAGCGTTTTCACAATGCATTTCAGCCTTTTGATGAAAACGTTATTTAAGGAGCTACAAAACTGCATACCCTATCTGCTGCATTCTTCAGAAACCAGAGAGATTGACAATATGCAGATCCAACGTTTGTGACGGAGCATAAAAAAATTTGGAATTGTTATCCCTGAAATTGTTATCTTTCTGCTTCCTCTACAACTTCAAACACTTTTAATACAATTAAGCTCCCACATATTCTTAAAATAAACTGGTGAACGAGGCAGACTTCTTCCTTAATTTCATGTATAATTGTATGGTTGATTTGGAAGCATCAGCCCTAACTGAGTGCTAGAGGTAGCTATCATCCTTTGCATACCCTCTATGTGACTATGACAATACTAACACAGGGACGTTGTGTAGAGTCTTTACTGTAGCAAAAGTATCAAGAGCACTTAACTGACAGCTGGGATCTCAGAGACATCAACAATCATTTTTTGGATGTAGTTCATCTTCTCTCATATCCCACTCCATTGTCACTTCTGGCATAAAAGGCACCACTCTCTACAGTGGTGTCCCAGCAGTTGCTTCTAATAATCCTGTCTCCAGCTTGAAGATTTCTATCTTCTCACCAAAAAAAATCCCTTCCCACAATTTCAGTGGGAATACTACAAATATGTCAGTAAGTACATCGTAAATGATTCTCTCATAAATCTGTCATCATATCAAACTTCCACTATCCTAATTTAAGAGTAGTTTTCAAGGTAACAACTGCTTTTGCTCAAGAATTTGGGAACTCAAAAGTGCTTTCTCGGAAAATATCATTGCACATGTGACACAGACTAGCTGAATAATAGTAATGATTCAACTACATTTACCACTATGAAGCCATTTTGTATTGGAATAAAAATGTAGTTCGGTTGATTTTTTTCACAGTGGATCTTTCAAAACCTACCAAATCAACACCTGAATGTTTAGAAAGAGACATGATTTTTATATATTCCACTGGAGAGGAATCAATTTTCTTGAAAGATAGCAATTATTTATTAGAATTTTACACATTGTCAAGAATTATGTAAATCAAGAGATTAAGATATAGGTCATTTATTTCTGAAGAAAACCCTTTTTGAAGTATGAAGGGAGAAAAATTGAACATAATTTAAGCTTCTAGTCTTGGTATCAAACCAAGGCTGAGTCATAAAATCACTTTGAAGACAGCTGTAATGATGAAAAATGTTACTGTGTACCAGCTGTTCACTGAGAGTACTCTGTTAAGAGATTGCCCCTTCCAAATATAAATTGTGGTATCCAGTGAAAAATCTGAACCACCTGAAGTGGTAACTTCCCTTCCACTAAGGTAAAATAAGGCTTTACACACCCCTTCTAGATACAAAAGAGGATCTTATAGACCTTGCTTATGAAACATAGACAATGTTTTCATTACTTAGTTCAATGGCAAATTTTCTTCTTGTCTGAAACACCCTAGATGACGGAAAAAGTGTAAGAGGTGAAAACCAATTAGACTGAAAATAAGAGTATGTATTGAAATTCTGCAAAATATCCCTCTTCTCTAAGTATACAACTATACACTAGAAATAAGCTCTGCAGGCATAAATACTTCAACACTGTCTTGTTTAGTGGCTGTATACCTGTACGCCTACAGAAAATCCATAAAAATCACTTTATTGTATGTTAAAACGAATACCTTTGTTAGCATCAAGTTCTCTCATTAGTACTTAACATTGCAGCTGAATCATGATAAGGGGAAGAAATGGAACAGGTGATCTGAAAGGTCAGCAGAAAGGAATAAAACAAAAACCCTACTTAAAGGGACATGACATGTGACCACACTGCATTTCAACAACTACAGTGCACTGTACAGACCACGATATCTTTAAAAAAAGCCTACAGAGTCACAGAAATCTTGCAATATCATTGCAGTGCATAGAACAGGCTGTGAAACTTGCTCCAAACCCCAGAGAGAATCAGATGATGCTATGTTGTATTTTAATACCAGTTCTCAAGCTAGAGGCAGTTTAAATATGGCACAATTGCTAGTTTTGTAGAAATATTCTCTACAACTTAAGTGAAATACTAAGGCTGCCAAGAAAGACTAAGGGAGTTAGCTTTTTCCTCAATTTGCCTAGCTTGCTCAAGTACCTTTAAAAATACCAACCTTTATATTTTTTAATTTAAATATCCACAAGAACAATGTTACATGCTATTAAAAGCAACCCATTTCTCTTAATGGAAGACTGTCAAACAAATGCAAATCAGAATGCAGAAGAAAACACTGTAGTCTGAAGTAAAAACTGCTATATTGTGACTCAGAAGTTACTCCTAGCCTTTTCAGTACTTTACCAGGTGACTTTGGAAAATCAGTTTAGTATTAGTTTGCCTGAACTTCCTCGGCTGTGATAATACCAATCCCGCTAATGAAAACAGTACTATATGAAAGCTAAGTATTACGAGCATCTTTTAAGATGCTTATCAGAGTTCGCCATAAATCCTGAATTTTTCAGAAGTCCTCTAAAAATGTTTATACTGTACTTTTACACTTCTCTGCTAATGTTTGTAGGAATCTTTTTTAACATGAAAGGAACTGCATATATGAGAAAACAAATTTAACTACAGAGTATAAAAAGTGTCATTATATATATAGTAAATTGAAAAATTAGAGAATGTTTTCTAAAGCCCTTTGGCTATAATAATGATGTGTTGCTTCTAGGCACATACACTTCAAAAGAAAATATGAAGTTTCATGATTATAATTTAACTCTAACGGAATGAATTTAAAAGATTTAAATGATTAAATATTATTTTGCAAGACATGATTTTTCACACAGTATGATACAATGAATTTAAATCAGAGGCAGATGGTACCCAGTATTCTTACAACTGAGAAGACTGGTATGTCAGACAATCTACTGTTTTGTTCTGTTTAAGACAAACAGGCTCTCTAGGGTCCTTGAAAGCCATTTTTTACTGGAAGGGGAGCTAGAAATAGAGCATTCATGTAAAAGTTTATTTATTGTGTTTGCAGCAGCCGCACACAAGAAAGTATGGAGAAAAATTGTATCAGGATTCTGCAATGCTGTCATGAGTGCCAAGTTCAATTAAATACCTGACCCTTTTATGATCTTTCCCACAGCAACCCATTTAGATCTTAGACTTTTATTCGTCATCAAATTTTTGTAAAAAAATTCATCTTCTTTAATGCTTGCAGCCAAGTCCTCCTGAAAATCCCCAAATCATCTCAGCAGATACGACCTTATTTCAGAAGCTGTGTCTGGCTTGCTAATGAGCTATGACAAAGCTGACCACTGACAAGGCAGCTTTCTAAAAAACAAAGCTGTATTTGTTTAGAAGAGACATTTTGAAGTATTTGTAAAAGACAGTTGTGAAGAAACTATCTTATAACATTATAAATCCCTTATATACATGTCTAGGTAACTAGGCAGTCATTGAGCTCACTCCCTTGAACCAGATATGATTTAAGGTCACCCGAGTGACCTAAAGAATTTAATTCCATATGAAAAGTCACGTCACTTGAGATTTTATACCTGTCTCTGTTATGAGAGCCAACCTTAGAAAATATGTTAAGACACTATCAATGCATCTGTGAAGCTTCCGTCTAAACCACTGCTCTTAGTCTTCCCACTGCACAGCTCCAGCTTCCCAAACCGGGTATCAACCCTGTGCCGTGCAGTCTTCCCTCACTGCTTCAAATTATGATCCCCATCCATATCATCTGCCTCCTCCTCTCTCCTACACATTTCATCTTCCCAGAAAGTGACTCAATCCCTACACTTCTATGCTTTCTAACACTTCTTATCTGACATCCCTACCAAGGAAAGCACATCAAGCACCAACGCTGCACAGCTGTGTAACGTGCTTTATCTAACTCTGAATGCAATTGTAAGCCTAATATCACAGTGCAATATCATGCAAAAATAGAAGTTCAGGTCTGAGATACAGTCCTGTTTGTCAACATAATTTTTGTTTATTGAGTGCATTTTGTCTCTTAAGTGCATTTTGTCTCTTAAGTGCATTTTGCCTATTTAGTGCGCTCTCTCAGGACTAACTAGTCCTCACACAGGTCTACAGATGAATTGCTTCTAGTTCTTGGTTTTATCTTCACATGTTCATTGTACAATACAGAAATACTGTAAAATGGGTAAAATACCTTTGTAAGATGCTGTAGAAATAATTACTACAAATACATGTTTAAGAACAATATATTTTTATTCTACCACTACGATCATTAGTGTTAAAGATTACCAAACTATCTTACAAGCCCTATCTTTAATGAGCACCATCTGTTTGTTTTTGGATTGAGGGAAAAAGGACATTTATATTAACATAAAGGGATTGATTTTTATTTCCAGGTCTTTGTCTTCTGGGTTTCCTGGACTCCTTTTTTCTTATTCCAATAGTGGCTAAAACTTCACAGAGAAGATGCTTGCGCTGTACTGAAACATGTCATTTGTATTAACTTCCATCCGTTAACTTCAGTTCCAAGAGGAGAATATGACACTGATGGAGGAATACAAACATTAAAGGCTGCACAAAGGAACCCAGGACAGGGTCACTGCATCTAGTCCTTCACAGGAACGGGTGCTGGCGCTGCAGAACACCAGTACTGAAGCGTTCAGAGACCATACACAGACGTGCCATGAACTACAGGTCTCAAAACAGCTTCTCCAAACAATTTAGAACATACAGTACAAAACCCAGAGCTTAGGCTGGAGTAAATTGGCAGGAGAGATCAAGAATACTTCAGATGTCCTTGGTTCTTTCATCCACACAGAATTCTTTGGGTGAAAATACCCAGAGGATCCTCTGTTATACCTAACATTGATGAAGCTGTTACAATAGCTCCTGACTAATACATATGGTGTTAACATCTGCCACTTTTCAAGATAGTATTCACTATTTGCAGAGTGTCATGTTTCTCACAAATAGCATGAATGACTAAAAAATAATGATTTTGTGATAATTCTGCTTCTGAGAAAACATAAATTGGTGATAAACTGCCATTAACTTTGGCATGTGAAGCCTTGTGCAAAGCCTACTGAAGTCAATGAATATATGACACTGCCTCAGAATAAACTTAAGGAGTGTATAGCCTACTGAAGTCAATGAATATATGATACTGCCTCAGAATAAACTTGAGTGTATTTCTTAACATGACCATTTGCTTTAGAGGTCTTTTTTTTTATGTTTTAGTGCTAATACTTTTTATTACAATTAAAATTTGTGTTAATGAATAGCTAGTAAATAAAGTAGATCGTCAAAGTATTTTTAGAAGCAACTCATTTTTTCCTAGCAATAAACAATTATAACTGCCAGAATTCTCTGGCATTTTTCAGCAACAGATATGTAGTAATTTAACTCTTTATTTTGGAAGCCTAATATTATATTAAGCTACACTTTTCAATTTTTTCGCACTGCTAATATGTAGAGTTTTAACAGGATGCAAAGCCTTCTGTTTATTTATTACATTTACTTCTGTCACATTGTGAAGGCACACAAGTCTCTGAAAAGCAAACTGTTCAGAAATAGAATGCGTACCTGTACATGGCTTAAATACAGTTTATTAAGCTTTCAAATATTGAAAACTAAGTAAAGCCATAAATCCAATTTTGTTTCGGATTTACATTTTAGTACAGACCTTTTTTTCACTGTGGTCTGCAAGTGATTAGTCAGTGTTTTCCCCTGCAGTAAGTATATTAATATTTCTCATTAGCAACCAGGAGCATAAACCAGATTTATTCAGTCTGTATGTAGAAGGAGCTAATAATATGACAAAAACCTAAGAGCACTAATTTTACTGTCAATTCCTTGTCCTGGCAATTACCTCTTAAATAGGCTGGACCTTTCTTATGTTAATTAGTGGTATTTCAAGAAACTTAAATTGTGGAAAAACATATTATTTTTAAAAACATATTATTTTTTTTCCAAAAAACCCAGTGTATTTTGAATTATTTTTTTTTCTAGAAAAAGACCAGGTTTATACCTGATTATGTATATGTGTAACTTCATTCATTTGAGCTGACCAGTTAATTTCAGCTTACATGTGCGTGAGCAAAGCCACCCGCATATGGAACTGTTACATGGATTGGAGTCTTTCTAAAGACTGTCTTCTCCCGATACTAAAATAGCCACAGCTACGGATTTTCAGTTTAGGTTTAAGTATTTTAGAAGACACACCATTGGCACCCCCACTGCCATAAAGAAGAGACAGTTTATAGAAGCAAAAAGCAAAATCATCAGGTACTTAAGCAAAAAGATTGTTTTCAAATAATAAATTGCCTTAGTACGCAGTTCTTTGGTACCAGAGATGTTGAACAGACATGGCTTTTTCATACTCCCACCCAGCCTGGCTATGTAAGAAAAACCTGTAGAGAGCCTCTGTCTCGGTGTTTTAATTTTTGGGGACTGCAAAATGCTCTCTGTTACACTATGGACCATTGGGGTTCGTGGCTGATGGAAGACAAGGAAAGGAAAAATGGAACCCTCAAACCCATCATCTCTCCCTCCAGGTACCAGAACTGTGCACTCAAACAAGTGAACTAAAAGCATCAGAGTTCCTTATCTGCATGTGCAGGAAAGTTATGCTCCATTAATTTATGCTAATTTCACACGAAAAGGAATAAAAGTTTTCATTTTTCCTTTCACTGTACAGAAGCGCCTTCTTAAACCGACCTCTTATTGCCTCAATTTTTACTGAAAATGAAGTAAATAAGATCTGCTATTCCAGCCCTGTGGAAAATATTAATAAAAAAAAAATAAAAAATAAAATTGCATGACAAAAATTGCTTCAAAAATGAATGTGAGATATCAAATACAAAAAGCCAGGAAAGGCAATATTAGTGTAAGGATTTCAACTTTTCTCATTGTGCAAACTCAAAAAAGCCAAATATTTCTAGCTTATCATTTCTTTATCATCTGTTTTTCATATTACAGGGTCTGATCTGAAGAGTACCTAATCTAATTAATTCATTTAAGAAAAGTTAAGAAGATAACATGGTTATTTCTGATCTTTCCGTATTTCAACGTACTCTACCAATGAAATTTTGCTGTAGATGAAGCAGAGGTAGGAGATTTACTTCAAACAATTTTGATTAAACAAATTAGACCAATAAATTTCATTGAAGTATTGGGCCTACTGTCCACTTTCTGTTTAATCGAAGAGGAGTAGAAGTTAAATGTCTCTTTATCTAACGATAGCTTAAACATGAAAACCACCAACAGGACTTCTGAAAAAGACCCTGCTCAGGAACACCACTTCACAGAGCTACACATCTTTTGGGCAAGACTTGATTCGTATGCAGAGAAAGTGAAGTTCTAACAAGAGCTTGTGACCGCCTGCACATCACTACATTACCTATAGTCTATGTGTGCCTTCTACCAAGTCACACCACTTCTTGGTGCTTCAGTTTTCTCCCTGATAACCTCCCCTATGAGAACAGAGCTAATGAAGCGCCACGTCCTCAGATGTGCGCCCTTCGTTCTCTGAGCTCACCCAACTCAACAGCTCCAGCTCCATATTTCCTAGGAGATCCCCCAACACGAAACAGCACAGATTTTGCCTAGTCCAGCAGAGTTTATTCACTTTATGCTTTGTAAAGTGTGATGGGTGATGCTTTCCTTACACGGGCACTCGAGACTGGGATCTCTGCACAGTATTGACTGCGTTCAGGCTAGGAAAGAGAGGAAGAAAGCAGCAGCCACGTCCCAGTCCTGGTATTTTACTTGTTGCTTAGGCAACCCAGCTCCACCGTGATGAAACAAAACACGGAAAAAGTAATCTCACTGAATGGGAATCCACTTAATTCAGAATCAGTAATCAGTTTATGAAGTAGTACGTTTTTACATAAGAACAGAAAAACCGTCTGGTTTTGATGCGTATTTTACGCCAATAAAATTGGAAAAGAACTGATATCAACAACTTGTATTATTTCCAAAATGCATTGAATCATTAGGGAAGTTGA